ATTTTACAGGGAAATGAAAGAAGGGAGTTCCACTTAAAAACTGACATTGCGATATAACTTCAAACATATAACAAATACTCTGTCAATCCTTATTTTGTAATTACAGGAACTCAATTTGTCATAGTGGATTAAAAGCTCCTCTCTAAGAATAGAAGAAGCCACTTGGTCACCTATCAACAGACATCAAATTCCACTGTTACCCATGTGCAGAAATCAATAACACCTTTTACTGTAGCATATTTTCTGCAAAGGCTCCAGACTTGTGTCAAATGCACCAGGAGAGGGAACATACTTCCCTGGATAGACTAACTCCAACTGTTAATTAACCTCTAGGAGATGTGCCTGCCTTTAGCTTCCAGGTATTTGTTTCTCTTATTTCTTCCTTTATTCCATTCAGCACTTCTGCCCCTATAAAAGTTCGAACTAAACCTTAACAGGCAGTATTCTCTACAGAAAAAAAAACCCTAGGCTTTTTAAGCAAACCACTTCTCTATCTTCATTTTGATACACTACATTAAGTGAGCCCTGATGGTGCCTTTTTAAGGACTTCACCTCCAACCTCCAATATTAACGCTTCTCTGTTCCCTTTCCAAATTCTCAACTTTTCCTTAAAGACATTCAAACTTAAAAACATGGACACAAAAGTTGTACGTGGCATTGTAGCATGTCTCATCAATTTTGTACTGATAGTCAAAATGATCTCTTCATGTCCTTTTGTACATTAAATTAAAACATAAATCGTCTTAGCCATACTGTCTTAAAATGCTTTTTCACTAGGATTAGTAGGTAACTTTCAAAGTCTGTTTTCCAGGCTATAGATTTCCCCATTACATAGATTTGCCCAGCATTTGGCTTAATTAAAACACATTTTATTCAGAGTAATTCAGCTTTTCAAGTGATCTAACTCACTCTTTAGGACTGGTCTGACTCATTGCCATTCTACCAATCCCTTGCAGCAGTTGTTTTTTTGGTTTTTTTTCATAAGCAAGATTATATTTACTTCAGTATCACTGATGAAAATAATCAAAAGGCAGAGTTGAAACCCAGTGAAAATTCACTGAAAGCTCTTCAGTTTGATGGTTCTCTATTGATGACTGCTTTTTTTTTTGTCAGCTACAATTTCTTAATTAAATTAGCTGTCAGATATGCTTTATAAGTACTGTATATTGTGGATCTCTTAAATCCTAATAGGAGCAATGTAACATTTTGCCCAATATCCTTCAAAATGGCTAACACCAGCTGCTTCAGAGAAAGGTTTAAGCAACCATAAAAATTAGTTATGCATCAACCTGCTTCCACTCCAACATTTTCAGTGGCTAACTTATCCAAGAAGTTCAAAGACATATAAGCTTTAATAGCACTTCTGTTACTATAGCTATTGATATTATATATACACTAATAACCACTCTTTGGCTTTTTTAAACATATTACCACAATCTTAGTCTCCATAACATTTTATGGCAATGAATTTCAAATGTTATGTATCACTGCGTGAAAAACATAATTTTATCCATTTTGAATTTTCTACAGTTTAGCTTTACTGTATCTCAGGTTCCAACTGTATTTTACTGCCAGAAGAGATTAGATCCGAAGTTGATATCTCCCAAACATTTCTAAGACATAGAATGTTACAAAATTAATTCATTTGGCTCTTCAGCAAGATATCTGAATATCTTAATTCTGCAGTATTTGTCCCTTAATGATCCAATGAGCCCACTCTCTAACCTATTGCCTGTTTTTGCATATGCTCAGAATATTTTGTTATTTATCCATGGTTAGCTAGTCACCCCTTAGACTTGCTCTTAGCTCTTCTGACTATTTTTGTACATATACTGCCTGCTGTAGTTTATGATAATTTTATTGGAAACCATAGAGTTGGTTTCTCCATTTTCTCAAGGCTATTTGGCTCAAATGATCTTGTCATATAGTCATTGCAAGCTCAGTCTAACCTTTTTTCTGCATGCTCTGTATACATCTATAAAACAATAACCATCAATCATGTGCCTGAGCTGTGTAGAAATTAATTATGCACATCTGTATTATAATATATGCATGTATTATGCATGTATTATGCCTGCACACATAGGCATTCCCTGACTTAAAAAGAAAATGTTAACTGTTCTCACCAAAAGGTGAGTTTTATTCCAAGTTTTTTTCATTGGAATAAAAGTAAAAATTATGAGTAAACCTTCCACAAAGGAAACTTAAACCACTAGAAATTACACAGTTACCAATATTAAAATTGTTACAATTAATTTGATTAATGGACTGCTACTTACCTCTAATATTTGCATTTAGAAAGGGTCAAATAATTCTGGGTTTATTTTATGTTACTGTGGTGCGTTGACCCTGTCCAGCAGCTAAGCACCACACAGCTGCTCACTCACGCTCCCCCTCCTCCAGCAGGATGGGGGAGAGAATAGGAAGAGAGAAAGCGAGAAAATTTGTGGATCAACATAAAGACAGTTTAAGAAGTGAAGGAAAAAGAAAGAAGAAAAAACAAAAACCAAAAAAACAAGCGATGCAAAGGCAATCACCCACCACCTCCCACAAGCAGACTGATGCTCACCCAGTCTGGTAGCAATGGCTACCTCCCAAAAAAACCCCTCCCCTCAGTTTTTATTGCTGAGCATGACACTCTATGGCATTGAATAACTCTCTGGCCAATTTGGCTCAGCTGTCCAGGTCATGTCCCCTCCCAGTTTCCTGCTCACCCTCAGACTACTCACCGCAGGGACGGGGGGCAGAAAGAGAAAAAGAGAAAGTCTTGACACTGCAAGCACTGCTCAGCAATAGCCAAAACACTGGTGTGTTATCAACACTGTTTTCATCACAAATCCAAAACACAGCACCATAAGGACTGCTATAAAGAAAATTAACTCCATTCCAGCCAGACCCAGTACAATAAGACACTGTAAAACATAACTAGAAATTATGAAAGCTCTGACTTCAGTGAAATACTGTCATGTTTTGCTGAAGTGATGTCTCTTGCCTGTTTTCGGCATTGGTCATCAGCCTAAATCATGTGCTGATTTTTGCAGTCTCATTTAAGACGGGACATGCACACGACTCCACTACACCTCCTGGTCTGGGAGACAAGAGACAACATTTTGATTTCTACACAATCCTGATGCCTCAAGGGCTCAGTACCAGTAAAGGATAGCCAATACCCCTGCTTGTGCTCAGATCCGTGCTTTGTCAAAGCAGCTCTCTAATCCAAATTCTTTTACAAACCAAATAGCAGCATTCTGTGATCTTCTCAATAACCCAACTGTTTACTCTAGGGGGTTTTGAAAATTCATTTGACTACTTTGACAACAGAAAGTTTGACTGCCTTTGAATCTGCTTTCAAAGACAAAATTATACAGGTCAAGCTATTGCCCATGGAGTATTCTGGTTAGCTTTGACAATGATGGATACCTTTCATGACCATTTCCCAGATCCCTTATGCCTACACTTCACAACTGTCCTTAATGATGAATGACAGTCATCTGCAATGAATGACAATTTTCCAGTACAGAACTGGCATTATCCTTGCATTTTCTTGCTATAATTTATCAGACTGAAAAATACAGAGTCTCTGATTACTAGATTCTTTATTAATGTAATAACTTGAACAAATACTGTTATGTGTTTTGAAATGTGGATGGTAAAAGATATCAAGTTGTTAGGTACAGTATACTCTGTTTTCATTACTTTAGGAACTGTAAATCTTACTCTTTAATGAAAATGCAATGTGGAGAAGACAGACTGTTTTGATTTGAAATTTGTTCGAATATCCTAGCTGAGCCTTGAAGAAATACACAACTGATTGATTGTTATAAAATAAAGGGATATTCAAAGCTGTATTTTGAATGGAAGTCTTGTTCTCACCACTCACAGGAGTGAATATTTTATTTGTTTAGTGAGGGGGTTTTTGCTATATAGTTACATCTTCACTTATTCAACAGGGACTGAAGTAGTCCAGCAAAAAGACCATCTGGAAAGTCATCCAGTCAAGTTTGCACTTTGTGAGAAAAGGTCTCCTCTTTGGCCACAATTCTTGGCACTGATTACTCATTACTGGCAGATCCAATTGAATTTATCTTAACAAAAAACACAAGCTTGGTTCAAAATTATTATTTCCATTACTGTAACAATGAAGGTCCTCAGTCTCAGACCAGGACCTCTCTGTGCCTGTGTTCTATAGGAACAAAACAAAAAGGACTGCATATAGAATAAAATGTTTGACATCTAACCGAAGAAGATTATAATCTAGATATAAATGATCAAATAGAAAGAAACACGGTATGTTTAGAAACATGAGAATCCCAGGAACAATGAGAAAATATTGATGAGCTTGGTGGGCATTGTCATTAGAGAACTTGAGCCTTGCATTTTGAAAGATATCACATTAGTGACTTCTAAGAAGAGCTTTTAAGGAGAACAAGCTTCCTAAAGTTTCAGAAATGTTAACAAGGACCTCCTCCCAGGCTTGCAGGGCAGGACAATAGAAAACATGAAGAAACTTGTTTTAAAACAAACAAACATGTAAGGGAAGCTGAAATAACATGCCATTTGAGAGGACAAATGATCTTCTACTATGGGGGGCAACAGCTTTTATTTATTACTTGCACATGTATGGAGGTGAATACACCTTTCTAATAGCTTACAGATTTTATATCTGTGGTATATCCCACCAATATTTATCCATTGTCAGTATGAGTCAATGAGGGTAATTAGTTGCCAGGGACTGGTAGGAAGCAGTATGTTAATGCTGATGCAGTGAGAGAATGCTTGTGTGCATGTGTAGACATAGTAGAAGGGTGGGACATATAAAAACCTACTACCCAAGGCGGATCACGTCACACGCACAAAAAAAGAATTACCAGACGGTAGCAGGCAGTATTCTCCATTTGCTTGTGCATTCCTCAACTTTGGGAACTTTGTGCATGTTTATCTTTGCCTTTGTGATCTTTAGAAATCTGGCTGCTTCAGAAGGTACCTAATTTTGTACTTACAAGCTGATTCAGCACCATTTGTACGGTCCAGGTGTGCTGCCTGTGGAACATAGGGCATCTTCTCTGAGTCCTGCAGTAGCTTCAGAAATACCTTTCATGAAATCAGAAAAAAATAATTTAGAATCCATTTTCTAAAAGCTGGGGGGGGTTTATATATATATATATATATCTCCCAAATCATCCAGATTGTCAGATATTAGTAGTGGCTGCTGTAGCCACCCTGCTGGAATGACTATAAAATTAGTCAAGCTCTCCAGTGAAAGAATCCTGGGGGTAAGGGGAAAGGAATAAATGCCAATAGATGCAAAAGCACCTATGCAAACCATTGTGGGCCCATGCACATTACTATCTGCAAAGATTTTTCAATAGACTGGCTGCCCTTCATTGACATTTTATGCTCCTAAGCTGTGGCATATGTTGGAACTCAGTTACTGCAGTTTTTACCAAGGGCATATTGACAGCTTCAAGTCTCTTCTTATACTCTAGCTAGAAATCTGTGGGCACAACTGGATCTGCTACCAAAGAGTTCTAGTTGCACCAGTACGACTAAATCTAATGTACAAAATCCAACAGAACCTAGAATCCACAGAGCTCTGGGAAGTGTCCATAGATTTATGCAAGCAATAATGCTATTGAAAGACATTTAAAGCACAATGCAATCATCAGGCACAGTCAACATTAACAAAGTACTGTCTAACTAATACTATGGAGAGGACTGGGTAACCGCATGTTTTGTAGCAAAACCATTAGCATGCATACCCCAAATTGGGAGAAGATGATAGGATTCTGTTACCTAAAATCACTGTGGGAAAAACTGAAATGATTTTTGTATAAAAGTAACAATCTAAAAATCTGCACTAGAGTAAAATTGTAAGGGTTGAATCTTCCTAAGCAGGGGGATACACATCAGAAGGGAGTTAAAGATAACATTTAAAAAAAACCAGCAGAGTTCACCAACTTTATAATCATGAGATCTATTTAAATGGTATATACACTTCGCCAAATAGATTTGTGTTCGACCTACTTCTTGCTTAATCCTGTTTCACAGTTCTGTCCATAAAGTAATCTGAATTTCATAGAGATGTATTTCATTTATCAGTCCCTCAGCCTTGCAGAAGCTTGGAACAGCTTTCATAGTGAGTCAGTTATTAACATTCACCCCACCTCTTGTAAGCTCAAATGAAAAATAAAATTAACATTTTCTTACCTTAACCCTAACTGCATTTTAAACAGTGATCTAGGAACTTCAGATAAAAAGAAATAAAAGAAAAATTAACAGAAAATACAGCTACCATGAGCATCTCTAATTGAACAGCAAAAGTACAACCAAGTTTTGTTTTCTTTTGATGAAAGCCTTCTCTTGCTTTCTCTTTTCTGTTTGGGTTGAGCTGCAAGACTTAGATTATAGCCACACTGCGACTTTCAGAAATCATTAAGAAACCATTTATTTCTTCCCACAAAAGAACCTGATATCAGCTATAACAAAAAATTCCTCATTTCCAAGGAGCTCATATGATAGACAATAAAAACGAGTCAATTTGAAGTACTTCATAGTTGTGGAAAGATATTTCTTGACTTGCTAAGGCCTGACTGTTACATAAACTGTATTTTGCTTAGTCAATATAATTGCTGTTTAACAGTGGTTATTGATTGCATTTGTTACCTGCCAACTTTCAGGGAACACTTTTGGCCGTTAACAACTGCAAGGCCAGAAAAATTAATACTTCCTGAAATTTCTATATTAGACCCCGGAGGGAGATCCTGACTAACCAAAGCCACATTCTAATTTGTTGCCTTGGACCTGCTTGCTGATGGCTCCTCTGCACACCAATTCTGTCAAGCAAACCAAACTAAACTGAACCAACTAAAACCACAAAGGAACTGCTCCTCTCAGGCTAGGACAAAGGCTACACTACAAAATGTTGCCTGCATGTACTCAGTTCAGTGTCAAAATTCGTGCTGGGGTTGCAGACAGACGTTTTGTTCTTTAATCGTGTTATGTCACTTGAAGAAAGGATGTAACTATACCTTAAAAAGAAACAAAACCACCAAATGCTTTTCTAATACATACTGCGTCTACTGTAACTTCACTGACATAGCTATTCTCATACAGCTATAAAGGCAGAAGGCCACCTGCATTGCCCAGTCCTCCCCATAGTATCCAGGCAGCTCTCAAACATCCCATTAAGAATGGGAATCATTAGGGACCATATTGTACAGAAGAAATGACAATTTATCTAATGTCGCACAGGATGTTGTGAACAGAAGTACTATTAGCCTAACAATGTTATTAGCAAAGTACCCTCCAAAAGACACAGATCTGGAAAAGTCAGGATTAGGCACTGTGACAGAGAGACAATGTGTTCTTGCCATACCTAAAAGACTGGATAAATTCAACAAGAGAAGGTGTTTTCTAGACCTCAGCAGAGCATCCCTTTCCCTACATGCCTTAGCAATTCCTGCTTAATTTCTGCTTTGGCTAGCAAGTCCATATCTGACCAAGGACTTGTCCAGATGGCTGGCTGTAGGGGAACCTGAGGAAATAGATATTTCCTGCACCCCCTCTAAGCTGTACTAGGCAGCTACTTCCTGATTCCTTCTTTGGGACAGCATCATAAAAACAAGCCTGGTTCACTGATACAGTGGCACAGTATCCTTGACACTTCACTGCAGAGCGTGGGGACCCTGTCACACCTTAGTTATCATTCCTGAAACACATCTTCACCTGAAAAGAAAAAGTGCAGAAAACGTTTACATTCTGCATAATTTAGCATCACTGAATTTTCTTCAGTAACTGAGCAGTACCAGGGCAAGTATCCCTGGGAAGTTTCTAAGTTTTAAACCTACACATGTAATCTATATTTTACCTTAAATAACTTCCCTATGTAGGAGCCAATTTTCCTCTTACTACATCTTCTATTCACATTGTTTTTATATTATCTTCCAGGAAGTCCATGTTCAGTATAGCCTTCTGTATCTACAGGCGTGTTTCACTAAGCAGAACGATGCAGAAGCAGTCTTAAAGCCATTCACTGTGGATGACTGTTGACTGAGGAACTTTCGCAAGCAGGTCAATGGTTATCCGCTTAACAGGAACACTTCTGACCGTCAGACTTAGATACACACACACAGAGGGACACAGACACTTGGCACAACTCAAAGCCACAGGAAGAAACTCTGTATGCTTTCGAGGAAAGTGCATAAAATAGGTAAGGAGTAGCATGGCTCACTTCCAGCACTTGCCCCTGCGAGCTTGCTCCACGCCAGGCACTGAAGGACCACCTCGGCCGCTCTTGGGAATGGAGAGAGCAGGTGGTCGTGCTGGCTGTTGAGAAGGACTGTCCTACTTCCAAGCAGTAGCCACTGCCCTGGCTGCTTCTTTCAAACCACCACAGGAAGTGCTTTTTTTCCTCTAGGAAAAAGGTCTGGCCAGATGGCAATAGTACAGTGAAAGACATTAGTATGATTGTGCCATTATTAGATGTTGTTAGAGCACTCTCAACAAAACTGAACCTCATTAGAAGCTACATAGTGTTTTAAGGCTAAAATATTTCAAGGAGATATATGGCTTTCCCTGGAAAACTTTGGGGGAAACTCTCTGGTCATTTCAAGGAAGAGAATTTAAAATAGTACTCCATTAACAGATATTTCAACACATCTTATTTTGCAAAGATGTTTCAATGGTTTTGTTCCCTCCTCAAAGCAAAGCAAGAAAGCAGTAAGCTTTGAAACCTCCAGTTGCCAGAAAGCGAAACATCATCATCCAGAGAGCTCTCAGTATACACTTAATTTAATTAACCACCTTTCTATCCTCCTTTTGGTTCTGCTAACACTCTTTGGATTACAAGAATTATAAAGTACACAAATACAAATGGTTGGGAAAGATATTTAAAACCTAAAATGAAGCAAATATAATATTAGTGAGATTTCAAAGTGTCAGGAACTGATTTTGTTAGAACTTCAAGATTGCTTTGAAGTACGAATAGAAGCCTGGTTTCCCTTGAAGAGTAAGGTTTTTGGAGAGTGCAAGTGTCACTCAGACTGAAAAAGAATAATGGTGAGTGTATGGGAGAACAAAAAGAAAGACTAAAATAAAAATTATAACACATTTCTTCCTTTAAAGTCAGAGTTCTTTGTTTCCAGGTTGAATTGTTTGAATAGACTAAATAGTGCTATTATGTGCTATCCATTTAGTTGCCAATGCAAAGAGGCTTTTGATAAGAAAATGGAGAATTGAGGTTGTAACGACTAATGATGAGCTGCAGAGATGACAGAAATCACCCCAAATTAATGCATTAAGTCTTCAAGCTGAAGAATGATACATCAATATCTAATACCACCTTTAAAGCTTTTTTTTAACCTCCCCTGCAGAAAACAACCAAAAGCAAGCTCTCAACTGAATAACAGATTAAACACGCTGAGGACGCTTCCATGACAACTTCACAGTTACTTTACAGATGCCAGTTCTGGAAAGTCCTATGATATCCCACAGGGACGTAATCAAAAAAGGTTCTCAATATATACATTACCTCAGAATCTATAGAGTTTGGCAGTGAACAGTATTCTTTCTTATAGCATGTTAATCACCCTATACAATTTGAAAGAAAATAACAATTTTTCAATAAGCTTTTTCAATAAGCTTTTGACTTGCCTCATAGGATTGTATAGCAGGAATGTAATTTACTTTATAGCATTATGTAATAATGTTTATTAAACTTGTATGATTTATTTTTTTCCTCCCTACCCCCCGCCATAACAAGTGCGTGCCACACTAGCTTTATGTACTGTGGTCATTTATAAGAGAAACACTGAAGAGATGCTTCTTTTTTTTCTTTTTCTTTATAAATAACTTAGTTGTATAGAGCTTAATTTCAAAGGGAACCACATACTTGCTGGTAGATCATTCTGGTGGACTACAGTTTAAAAACAAATGTGCAAAACCAGATCCTTTATGCTTGTGCAGGGTCCTAAAAACCTATGTAGCAAATCAATATAAGTCCTAAAGATGTCTCCCGGTGGACCACTTCAGGATACAGCAGCTCCACGTGGTGGCGTATTGGTTCAATAAATTTCATGAACAATTGTCATTTTAGGTTTACTTGCATTACTGGGGTTCTATTTATATTTTTTCCACAGGTTATGTAAGATGAACAATTCTAAACTTGCAAAACAAACCCAGAACTGCTGATGCAGTTTCAAATATCTGACCCCATTAATTCCCATATGTATAGATCACGCAGTGAACATACAATGCATAAGTGATGTCTGACAGGCCTTAAAGTGTATCATGTTCATAAACCCAGGAAACATGAGCATCTTCCCTGGGGGATCTTGTGTTCCAGCTGACCACAGTACTACATCATATCATCTCATACATTTCCAGGGAACAGAGGGAGAAGGGATACACCCCTTTTCTATACTAAGTATTTATTGCTGTATATAAAAAAATATCACTCCACGGGAATCTGCATTTCATTATTTTTATGGTTTTTTTTTCTAACATATATTACATTTTCTGTTACAAAACAGTCCAACCTTGTCTGTCTTTAACACTATCAGTAATCACTGGAGAAATCAGTTTCACAATGTGATACTGAATAAATTGTGCCATCAAATAAAAATAGATGTGTTTTGTGCATCAAAAAAATACTGACATTAGTTTCCTATCATCACTTGAAGAAGTGAAAAAAAATATATTTTCAAGAGGATCTATAATACAGAACTTGAACAGTGGTGGTTTAGGGAATCTTGATATTTAAAAGTTATAGTAGGGATAAAAACAGTCCAAGGAAAATAACTTCTCACTGATATGGCTATTTGCACAGAGCTAAATTCAGAAGTGATGAAGAAGCATAACAGAGTCTCTTTCTCTGGTCCGTTTGGTATATATACACACACATATGTATATGTGTGTGTGTGTATAAATTAGTGTGTGTATGTATATATATGTGTATATATGTAAGTGTCTCTCTCTCTCTCTCTATGTATACACACAAAATACTCTTTAGAGATTTCCCCACACAGTTTTGCTAAGTCCTAAGCTTTAGAACTTTGTAAGTCAGAGAGTATTCTCAGCAATTTTTTTCCATCCCAAGAGCTACCTGAACTGAACCTCCAGCCTTGCAAGTTCAAAGCTCATTCCAATGCTAGAGATCCAGGACCACAACAGTGGTTCTCATTAAATCAATGACACATTAAATTTTCCTTAAGTAAATGCAGAAACAAACATTTAAGAGTTACACAGTTCCTCAGTGTTCACATCGGATTCTTGAAATAAGAAATAAGTCATAGTAGAGTGGGTGCTGAAATTAACAGTACAGCAAAACTGTAAAGTATACATTTTGCCTAAGGTTTTTTTTTTTTTTAGAAAACATGTTTCTCACAAGAAACTGTTGTGAAATATGAAAGATACAATAAGAGTAGCTGGAAGATAATACAGGATTCTCTAACCAAGAAAATGCCATTACACAGAAAAACTAAAAGTACCTCTTCCAAGGTGGTGTCAGAAATGCCATAGCCAGTCACATGTAGATGATGAAGGCTTTGATCTAAAGCCTGAAAAAGACCTTTAAAAGAGGTCTTATCTGCCCTTTTTGGAATCACGTAGGTCAGCTCAGTCCCACTGTTCTCTTTCAAGAAGGCTTCTGGGATGTGGGTCTGTACCAAAGATGTGACCTGAACAATATGCTTCGGATCCTGCATTTCAAACACTGACGGCTATGAGTAAAGAAAGATAATCATGAACAAAAAATTAAATGCTACAAGAAATATGAGACTGGATAGTAGAATTCATACAGGAAAATTTCCACTGATGAAACTGCATCAAACCTGGGACGCAGAGACTACTTCCCAGGAACAAAGAACAGTGAGACAAAGCCCTTTTCCGCTAAATATTGAAATTCATAATTTTCAAAGATGTCATTGTGTTCTTCTAAATAATAATAGTGGTAATAATAATACCACCCACTCAAAATAACCAATAAAGCTGATAAAAACATGTTTTGCTGGCTCTCTCATAATTTATATCACATATTACTTTCTGGCAGGGACATATGGCTCCCTCAGAATATACACAGATATTACTTGGCAGGCACTGTTAAGTTCTGTGCAGTACATTTTTAGTATACCTTTTTTACGAGTGTTAGACTGTGTCCCTGGCCATACGTTTCTCTCAGATAAGAGGGAGAACCACAGCACCTCAGCTGGCCACGCTGCAGGATGGCAATGTGATCACTGAGCACCTCTGCCTCATCAAGATGGTGAGTGGTAAAGATCAGTGTGCAACCTGCATCAGAAAGATTGGTGCATGTCTACAAAACCTGGTTTCTAGAGAAACACATCTTGCTTTCACAAGGTTCCCTTTAACCTTAAGGGAACATGTTTCAGGTCCCTTCAAAACATAACTGCAAGACACAAACAAAACCTGCATTCAGATTTACAGTCTGAGTAGATTCAGGTCTAAACTTGCTTTGCCTTGTACTATACATAGTAAGCAGTATTAAGCCATTACAACTTCAAGCTGTCTTAAGAGCTTAAGAGATTCCTTAAAACCACATGACAACAGTGTCTGTTTCAATGGATCTTTCACTGTGAGTTATTACAGCTAGTTGAGTACTCACTAGCTGAAGAGTTTGCTTCCCACAATCAGTTTTTAACTTTATGGCACTTAAAAAATTAATGTAGCAGACTGACTGATGAGTCTATTTTCATTAGAAGTATATATGCAACTATATACAGATACGTGCAAAATGGGAAATGAAAACCAGAAAATAATTTTGAGAATATAACAAAAAAGAAAAAGGTAAGAGAAGAGAAACTTCAGGACAGGACTCAGAACTAAAATCAATATTCTGTTAGATTAGGCACCTTTCTGTGAGACTAGGCACCTTTCTGTGAGACAGCAGGTAATTCTTGTAATCTCACTTGGCTGTTTTAAAGTTTCCCAAGTTTGATTAAATGTTATCTCTGAAATTAATGTATTTAGTTACTGAATAGCAATACTAATATCCTGACTACCCTGTTTAAATTTATTGAAACAGAATTCCAGAAAGGAAAATAAGCAGAAAATTATGTCTATAAGCTTTGTACCGGATTTGTACTTCAGAAGAACATCCCAGATGCTACGGCGAGAACATGGATCTACTCCACTGGTGGGCTCATCTAGAACAACTGTCTTTGAGTTTCCAATAAAGGAGATGGCAATTGACAGCCTCCTTTTCATTCCCCCAGAAAGGGCTCCAACAGGTTTGTACTGATGTTGGGATAAATCCACATCTTCCAGAGCTCTGAAATAGGAGTACAGAAATGGGACCAATTTTGAAAAAGTTTTTGCAGTCACATCACATCCACTCAGAGCAGAATTAGTGAAATTTCACTGTAAATGGAAAGTGGAAGAAACACTACCTCTGACTGATTATACAATTTGGTGACAAAAACGAATAGAAGACAAATGATCTCTTTACCTACAAAGTATAAACACTCATCACCACCTAAAATATAAATTCTGGATAAGTATTGTGCAGGATAAGAACAGTCAATTTTGAAATTAAGTCCAATAAAATAAATACCAGTTTGTCCAATGATTTCAGCAAACTCTAGATTATAGCCTCTTAAACCATGATAAAGATCATTAGTTTCATAATTCAAACAGTGCTTCAGTTTTTGCAACTGCCTAAAGAACCTTAAAAAATGTCTGAGTTTTTAGGAAATGCAGAGTCATTTGAAGTAAATAAGGTAACACTGCTGCTTTTTTTTTTTTTCTTTGTTTTTTTTGAAGAAATGTTTCTGTGAAGTAAACAGATTGGCGATCCCTAGGTAGAATAATACTACCTAATCCAACCTAATCTGATTCCTGTGTTAAGGACTGGGAAATACCTTACAGATATTGCCTATTCAGCCCGTGCCCTCTGATGATCTTGAATCTGAGCAGTGTGTGGAAACATGCTCAATAAAGGCAGCACTGAAAGACCATCAATTTATTTTTCATCACATTGAACATCCAGTCATTGACCTAAAAGCTTTCAGTTGCTATCAGCAGGGCAAGCAAGACATAAAAGGCTCAACAGTCCTAAGCTAACCTCCTGAATCATTTGAGTGAATATGCAGTCTATAAACCATGCCATTTACCCTGAGAGAATTTTTCATTTTTAAGAAAACAGGTTTCTATAATTGTTGTATAGATATATATCCAGAAAAATTATTCTTAATCTCTTTAGAAGCCATCTTTTTTTGCTTAATAAAAAGCAAATTTTGTTTCATTGTTTTGTTGCTTTTCTAATTTCTCTGAAGTATTTTAAAGCATTCATTGCCTTTAAAAAAAATTAATTTTTTCTTAGTAGCGAGGCCTGCAGAGTTCCGAGTATTCTTGTGCCATTAGTATGACAGACTGCTGCTGAAATTACAATTCAGCAGTCTAAGTACAATAAACTACAGGATATTATTTTGCATAAATTTTAACCAAAGACTGTTTGGTTTGTCCTTGTTGTTCTAGAGAGTTGTTTCTCTTGTTTCTAGAGAGTATGCAGTGTCCCACACGAGAGATTTTTCACATCAAAATTTTAAATTAACAGGCTTTTATGATAGCTACTAAAAAGGAAAGCCACTTTGCCACAAATGTGTCTGCATATGCCTATCTGTGCACTTAAAGAGAAGTCCATCAACTTGGCATTTATTTCCATTGAAGCGTGGAAGTGCCCAGCCCTCCACACAGTCTAGCATGAATCAGAAGGTAAACAGAAACTTTTTCCCCTGCCACACTAGTAGGAAAGCATACATTTTATTCCTAAAGTTCAGAAAATGCAGTTTGCTATTAGTGAATAAGATCTCACCTTGGATGGTTTACTAGTAGTTTAATATACATGATGCAGAAATGAAGATCTAATCCTATATCAAAGAAATAGCAGCCTAAAAACACTAGCAAACATTCTCAACCTGACAAGTGGCTAATCCTCTGAGGTTTTGTCAGAGCTCTGACTTTTTTTTCCTATTGGATTGTTTGTTTTGAAACCTCTTCACTTATTAAACACATTTAAAGTCTGAATTTGACAAAGGAAAAAGATGATGGCCTACTTAAAAAGACTGTAACAAGCACTGCCTTTACCTGCCTTTTATGGTTTTCCAGTCTTCCCTCTACTGCAGGCGAGGGAATACAGGATAATAAATACATAAAGTCAGTGTTGACTTGTCTGAAAACTCAGGGCAAACACATAGCAGTTTACTTTCTATCTGCCTCTCCAGCAAGGAGGGAGGTAAGGCAGACAGCATGAGGCAGGAACCACTACAGCTGCTACCAGGCTAACCATCTCCACTCCAGTCAAAACATGATTATTTGGTGGTTCTGTAATACCAGGTTTTTAAACATTGACAGTTTAACTACAAATACATTCAAGTAAAGGTTAGAAACTAGGAAATCTATTTTCAAGGCACAATTTCAGAACATGAAGTGTGATAAAAACTCATGGAAAACCTGCAGTTTCCATTTGTTTCTACTTGCAATTTTGCTTTAGCACTTTCTTGTTTCAGTGGCTTGCAATAGACACTACTAATTTACTTGACAGATTTCAACAAATGAAAGGAAAACTTACCCACTGACTTGCTGATTCAACCGTTCCTTTGTCCAGCCAGGTGCCTTCACTGATCCATAAAGCAGTAGATGTTCTCGCACCGTCAGTATGTTGAACAGGACGTCATACTGTGGGCAAACACCCAGCTCTGTCCTGATGGCAGCCAGATCAGAACGTATGTCCTTTCCATTAATAATAATGGTACCAGAGCTGGGTGGATACAGGCCAGTCAACAGTGATCTGATACAAGAAAAGAAAAAAAAAAAAATCAGCAAGATCATGTGTAATGACTGTATTACATAGCTCACACTTGGATTTCCTGAGGCACATGCTAGCATCCTTAGAGCAACACCAATTCAGTTGAGGATAGTTATAGAAACACCGCAAATGTTTTGGGGGGGTTGTTTGTCTTTTTTTTTTTTTTTAAAACCAAGATCTCAACAATCCTTCATTTCCTTACTTCCAGATCAAAATCCATTTTTTTCTCAACCAAATACAACAGGCCATTGTTTCCTTTTTCACGTGTGCATTCTAGCTGAGGAGTAATCCTAATTGGGTCCCATCCTGCATCACTGGTGTTATTAAAGCTGATCATAGTTAACGTAAAGGTAGAAATACACAGACTTCTTAACTGAGGCATTTTTAAATGTCATTTTCATTTTGTCATTTTCATTTCTGGTCAACTGCCAAGAAAGAAGTCCCTTGCAACCTCTGGGAACACAGCACAAAACCCCACAAAACTCCACACTCTCCTTGTGATAGGAGTACACATGGGCTGCCAGAAAAGAACACTTCCCTGAGATGTGTTCAACTCCACAACTAGACATGCCCAGCTCCTACTTAAGCTGCTCCTGAACTATTACATCATGGTTTCAGTGGCACAGAGGACCCAGTTCTCTATTCATTACATTGCTTTTGTCATAGATATATAGCCTTCACTCTCCATGTGCTATTAAATATTTATTTGGAAAAAAAAAAGACATAAGAAAGAGTTCACAAACATTTTGAAGTGAGAAAGCATAGCAGAGATCAGAGGGGAGTGTAACAGCGTTACATGGCAGACTTACATAACTGTTGTCTTGCCAGCTCCATTAGGTCCCAGGAGCGCTGTTATCTGACCTCTATGGAAAGTGAGGCTGAGATCTTTAACAGCAGCCTTCTGGCCATCCACGTGCTCTTTGGTGAGAGACAGCAGCACGACACCAATGGTGGCTCCTTCGATGCAAGGGCCTTTCCAACCTGGAGGTGCTGGGTCTGTATGGGGAAGAGCAGCAGATCAAGAGGGTTGCTGAATCTAAACATATGTGTGTGTGCATATAGGGAATAACAAATTAACTTAATCCCTGTTGCCATTTACCAAAGCCTGGAACAGATGTGCAGATGCTCCAAACTTGGCATAAGCTCCAGTGAAAACAAAGATACTATGCCAGTTAATATGTGCTAAGAATTTGGTCTATTTCCAGTTTTAAAAAGCAACCTAAAACAATTATGCTAAGTTGCGTGCATGTCCACATACGTCTCGATAGAGTCATAAAATAGTTGTTATATTTTATTTCTAGTAGAAAAAACACTTACAATAACGTTGCTTGAATCATTGTTTTATGCCCATAAGTATGAGAAAATTCTAACTGTGTGAACTACTCCATATATGCCATCCAGTTTCAGGCACATAACATTAACATAGCATTAACAGGCATAGTGAGTTAATCCTCTTAATTCCCTCAGTCAATAAAGCAAAGCAGATCTCTTGGCGAAACGATTCAGAGCAGCAGTCTAGTCTAAACATAATTCAAAGGTCCTCAATGCAAGTAGATAACCAGCATTTTTCTAACTGAGTTAATCGGCTCAGCAAACTGAGATGACCATATGACGCAGATAAAGTTGACTTCCTTTCTATGTCAGGAGGAAAGGTTGGCACTACTTTCCAGACATGAGCACAGTCAATTATCAGCCCCATAAATATATTATTAACATGTGATATTTTATTGACTCATTACAACTGAGAAATCTGGCAGTGTTTGGGTTTTTTTTTTTTTTCTTTTTAAACAAAGGCAAGCCAAATTGGAATGCTAGTCCAAAGAAATAGAAACTGTTATGGATGAGAATTATGAGAAGAGAAAATTATCCTTTTTAATATATATTTTATATATCAAAATATATAAAGTATATATTCTTATATAATATTTAGAGTTTATATTTTTATTTTATGTAATCATTTTATATAAAATTATATAAATCAAATTATAAATAAAAAATTATATAATGATTTCAAGGATTGGTTTGTTTAGGCAGTGAATGAAGCAGCTTTTTGCTCCTTTCATAATCAATGTTAAGTTTAGAAAGAACTTTTGCCAGAAGCTTGAGGTTACCTTCCAACAAGGCACCAGTAGTTGTGACATTTCTGAGGTCCTTCTACCCATGAACCAGTTAGCTTCTCTGTCTTTTGATCTGGAGACTAAAACTACCAACAAACATTATTCATGCCCTTTACACTGCTTCCTAAATTTGCAAGTACATCCTGGAACTTAACAAAAAAACTTAAAGTACAGAGTGAGCCTCAGACAATGTATCTCAGGTAAGATTCAGAGGACGAGCTCCAAATTACTTGCAAGCAGTAAATTGATCACCCTAGGACTTCTCCTAAGAGGATTTCCAAGTGGGTGTTTGATCACCCTAGGACTTCTCCTAAGAGGAGTTCCAAGTGGGTGCTCAGCACCCAGGTCTCTGCCAGCCCTACTCTAGTCGTAGTTCCAGCTCGTAGGACCTACACTCCAGCCCTTCCCTGACACACCTCTGATTTCCAAAGTGCTTTCCACCCCCACTGAACCAGCCCTTACCTGGGCTATATGGAACAAATGCAGAAATAGCCCAGGAGCAAGTCACTTTGCTGTTCCAAGCAAATTACCCATGAATGCATTTATCCCATTATCAGTACAATGACGCCCAATTCTTATGAAAGAGAGCAAGTTCCTTTGCATGCATGGCAGTGTTAGAGTTCACACACAAGCAATTTGCTAGCGAGCACATGATGTGCATCAGTTTAAGCAGAGGAGAAGTGAGATGAACAGATCCACAAAGTTGTAGGCAATCACTTGGGTGGCTTGAACCAGAGACCACACTAGTAACTTTTCAGGCAGAGGAGACGTTTTTTTCTTTGCTTTCCACAGAGGATGTGATGAACCCAAGGGGAAACACTGAAAATCTTCATTTTAAGTAAGGACCAGAGACAATCATCTCAACAAAATGGAATTGTTCCAAAGTGCAGAAATTCAGACAAAATTCATACTGATAGTTTTTCCACAAATGTTTAAATGAACCTCAAGACATTTTTAAGTTTGCCCTCCTCTAGGAGGTACTAATACATAAAACTGCTGAGCTGTTCAGCTTCTTCACCTATGCTACAGACAACTGGATCATTTCCAAGCTACCGTAACTTCCAAAAAAACCACAACAACCCATCATGTGGTTCTAAGACCCAAAAGGGAATATAGGTGAGGCTGACTTACTCCTTCATTCACAAAGCATAACTGAAATGTGAGAAAGTCCTTAAAGAGACCTGAGAGGGGAAAAACCCCTAAAAATCTAAATTAATTTTAAGCAAGTGAACAAAGAAATAGAAGAGCAGTGAAAGTATCTGGAGGCAGATAAAAATTAGTTACAATAACAGTAGCTTTTTAAACAAAAGGCTAAGAAGCAGAGACAGAAAGAACAGTGATTATAGAAGAGGGAAATAAGAAATAGAAGGGAAAGTAATGAACAAAGTTAATTTTTCCACTGAAACAAGAAACAAATAAAAACAGCAGAGGAGGAAGAAGAAAATCAAACTGCAGGAAATAAGAAGTTAATAGATCACAACACTTTTCAGATTCAGTAGGAGTATGAAAGGGTTCAAGGAACTTCAGAAGATCCTAACAAAGCAAAGAGGCAATACACAGGGACAGGATGAACCCAAGAGATACTTATTTTACATTTTTTAAAGAGTTTTCTTAAATATTTGTGTACAATAGTTTTAATTGAATGATTCAAGCATTAGAGGTGACAGCACAATTAACAGTTAGTATATGATGTACATAGTATACACTATATAATGGAGGAGAGAAAGGGACAATATCTAAACACATAATATAGGACCAAGCAATGACAAAAGCAGATTGATCAAAATCAGCACACCATTCAGAAAAGAGCCATTATTAAAATTCTATTATGACTACAAACCTTTTTCTTGGAAGTTTTCATTGAAGAAAAACATATTAGAATTCAGGTAATGTCTCTTCCTCCTCTCTGTACCCCACAGGTTCTTCCAGTAGGAAGCAGTAAAAGGAAAGTACCATCTTTTCTTTAATCCAAATTTTCCTAGATGATAATTTTGATAGAAACTGTTGCAAAATTTATAGTAATTTCATATTTGTCTGTAGACTACTAATGTCCTATCATTACTTAAAGAGCTGGATAGACCATTTAATTAGCTTAAACTCATAGCTGCACTTAACAAACCTTAATAAAGTGGAAAAAAGTCATTTGGCCATAACACCAGGTCCTGCCATAAAATAACCAATGCTCAGTGATACTGTGCTTTACCCTATCTCCAAATCAGCTTTAAAGTGTAACAGAATCATAGACTTAACAATACGTAGGCACAGCCTAACATAATCTTGTAACCTAGAGGAGAGAAAATGCACCAAATGGCCTGCCAAGGCAAAGAGCTTTTTTTTTATTATAACAATAATCCATTGCACGAGTCATTAAAAATTATTCTCTCATTACTCTCTGCACAACTTAAACAAATCAGCCAGCATAAGAAACATTTATTGTAGCATGCAAACAGAAAGGGTAAAAATATGCTCCTACACACAACATAAACTTTGGCATTGCCCAATCTTTCCAGGCTTCACTTACCGATCACACAATGCATACTCAGTGTGTTTGGAGTAACATTTCATTGACACGGAAGGACAGGTGTCAATTTAAGCTGAAGTTTGTAAAATTCAGTTGTATAGTCCACACACACCCCTATCTTTCAAAGCAAAATTCATTTTTATTTTGTATTTTTAAAACAAATACAGAGTAACTGGAAGAAAAGGTGACATGCAAATTAAAAGAAAAGGTGAATTTCAAACAGCTAGTGAGGCATTAGTCTATGATTAAAAATGCATCAACCAGCTCAATAATATTCATAAAACTTGGTTAATGAAAAAAAAATCCCACTACTTTCTGAAAATATACTTCAAAGTTAATTTGTTTTCTTTATGTATTGGACTGTGGACTGACTGGGAGCAAGATACAGTTATGAGGCAGTTTGAAGTCTTTGTGATCTGAAAACGTGTTGTTGTTCATGGGTTTCAGCCCAAGTACTGACTCAGAAGATTCACCATTTTCACAGGAAGTTTTGCTACTGAACTGACCTCTGTTACTATGAAGTACCAACAAATTCCTAAGTCCTTCAAATATTAGTCATCCCCGTAAGCAAACAAAAGATATTTCATGACTAGCTACAAATTCTAGTCCATGTGTTAGCACTACTCAATATTTATGTATGTAGGAGGACTTTCTTACCCAGTCTTGCACATCAAAACCTCAACTCAGAAAAAGATATGTCTTTGGTTTAGTTGCATACAATGAGGAAAGCCAGTTCTATCCATTCCATTCAATAACTTCTTCAAAAACATGAAATAAGAACAACTCCATGATCTTACCAGGAATAATATTGCTGAAATACCAGCCACCTATAGAATATAAAATGGAATCAAAGAACATCATCCAGCACATCCACCCAAAGGTCATGTATCCTCCTTGTGCCATCGACTGGTGCACATTATTCCACTGAATTCCTGGTAGTAATAGTAATAATAATAATGATTTTTAAAAGGTCAAAGCTAAATCAGTACAGCATTAAAGATCACAAACACGTCAACACCACACACTTCTGGGTATTTAAGCACTGACACAAAAAAGACTGTAGTTAATAACAGTAATCCTAATGAATAGCAATGAATTGCTATGCCTCTACAAGCCTCTGTTTAGAACAGCAGGTGACACTGCTGCTGAGAAAATGCAGAGGAGCTGTTGTAGAAAGGGCTGTTTATGAAGTTTTAGCTGGCCCTTAATTTGGCAAAAGAAAAAGGACTACGACTCTCTGACAAAATAGGGCACTGACCTCTTCAATGAATCAGGCTTTATGCCATTCTGCTATTATAAAGAAATGGGTTACACAAAGTTTAAAGTCATTTCTATAATGCTAAATCTGAAAACTTAAATCTGTGAGTTCTAACCAAGAAGCAAGTATTTGTGTGCATTGACTGTATTCAGAGGTAAGCTGGAACAACAAACTCATTGAATAATTGCTTCATAAAATTATTACATTGCAGAAGACATGAAAGGAAGAAAGAAGGTGCAAAATGCTGGTACTACAGAAAGCTACCATATTGCTAAATGGAAAACAAAAGTAACCACATTGTAGATTTACAAAGAGCATTACATTTTTTTCTGAAACTGCTACTTTGTTTGCAGTACAGCAGGTCATGATATTGTTTCTACAATTCTTTTTCTACGATTGTCAAGAAAAGCAGTTTTCCCACAAAGTACGTTTTGCCCTTTCTTCAGTAAAGATGAGTCATTTTGATGAATTGTCTGGTGGGAAATTTAAGTAATATTTTCTGCAACTGTCTCTTCCACTCTTACCAACTTATGTATCATTATGATACTTTTTCAATGCCTAGTGGTTTGAAACATTCACTGTCATCAATATTGATCTTGCCCTAGTAGTAAAAAAAAGAAAGGGATTACATCCCTTTATATATTTAGATACATAAATGTATATTCTTTGTAGACATTTATCAAGGGCCCAGACATTCACTTCTTACTTTTCTAAAACTTCAGCATCAATAGGGGCAGCTCTTAGCTTGGGGATAATAGGGATCACCATGTTAAAACATGTAGCAATGTGCTAAAACATCTAGTTGAAGGGCTGTTTATGACCTTTTAGCTGGCCCTTAATTTGGCAAAAGAAAAAGGACTACGACTCTCTGACAAAATAGGGCACTGACCTCTTCAATGAATCAGGCTTTATGCCATTCTGCTATTATAAAGAAATGGGTTACACAAAGTTTAAAGTCATTTCTATAATGCTAAATCTGAAAACTTAAATCTGTGAGTTCTAACCAAGAAGCAAGTATTTGTGTGCATTGACTGTATTCAGAGGTAAGCTGGAACAACAAACTCATTGAATAATTGCTTCATAAAATTATTACATTGCAGAAGACATGAAAGGAAGAAAGAAGGTGCAAAATGCTGGTACTACAGAAAGCTACCATATTGCTAAATGGAAAACAAAAGTAACCACATTGTAGATTTACAAAGAGCATTACATTTTTTTCTGAAACTGCTACTTTGTTTGCAGTACAGCAGGTCATGATATTGTTTCTACAATTCTTTTTCTACGATTGTCAAGAAAAGCAGTTTTCCCACAAAGTACGTTTTGCCCTTTCTTCAGTAAAGATGAGTCATTTTGATGAATTGTCTGGTGGGAAATTTAAGTAATATTTTCTGCAACTGTCTCTTCCACTCTTACCAACTTATGTATCATTATGATACTTTTTCAATGCCTAGTGGTTTGAAACATTCACTGTCATCAATATTGATCTTGCCCTAGTAGTAAAAAAAAGAAAGGGATTACATCCCTTTATATATTTAGATACATAAATGTATATTCTTTGTAGACATTTATCAAGGGCCCAGACATTCACTTCTTACTTTTCTAAAACTTCAGCATCAATAGGGGCAGCTCTTAGCTTGGGGATAATAGGGATCACCATGTTAAAACATGTAGCAATGTGCTAAAACATCTAGTCGGTTTCCAAACGTTTTTTTCTTCCTAACGCTTGAACATAATAGGGTGTTCTCATGCATTTCTGCACCTGCACAGTAGCTCAGTGGGGATTTCACCAGCTGCCTCCAGGCTTGCAGAGACAAGATGCTACTCAGGCTGAGTATGAATAGGGTCACATAGGAGGAGCGTACAATATACTTTACAAAGTAAAAGTAATTTTTTTCTTACTTTCCAATGTATAGTAGTTAAATATTCATCTTAGCATTATGTTGAGAGTGAATGACTTACACTGTTCTTGTTCTGTACAATATTGTTCTCATAAACCTCCATTGCACTATACACTAGTGCATGTGTAAACCCAGACACATCTACCAAGCTCAAGAGTAGTCCAACCCAATGAATACAAAGTCAGGTAGAAACGCCAGGAGGCCTGCATGGATGAACAAGGAGCTCCTGGCCAAACTCAGGCACAGAAAGGAAGCCTACAGAGGGCGGAAGCAAGGACGGATAACCTGTGAGGAATACAGAAACATTGTTCGAGCATCCAGGGATGAAGTTGCGAAAGCTAAAGCCCAAATGGAATTGAATCTGGCCAGGGATGTCAAAGACCACAAGAAGGGCTTCTGTAAGTACATAGGTGACAAAAGGAAGACTAGGGAAAATGTGGGCCCACTGCTCAACAAGACAGAGGACCTGTTTACACAGGATGTGGAAAAGGTTGAGGTACTGAATGCCACCTTTGCCTCAGTCTTTACTAGCAGGTCTGGTCTTCAGAAATCCCAGGTCCCAGAGACCAAGGGAAAAGTCTGGAGCAGGGATCATGTACCTTTAGTGGAAGAGGATCAGGTCAGGGATTACTTATGCAAACTGCACATACATAAGTCCGTGAACCCTGATGGGATGCACCCAAAAGCACTGAGGGAGCTGGCAGATGTCATTGCAAGGCCACTTTCAATAATCTTTGGCATGATCATGGCAACTGGGAGAAGTGCCCAAAGACTGGAAGAAAGCAAATATCACTCCTATCTTCAAGAAGGAGGACCCAGGGAACTACAGGCCAGTCAGCCTCATCTCGATCCCTGGGAAGGTGATGGAGCAGCTAATCCTGGAAACCATTTCCAGGCACACAAAGGACAAGAATATCATCAGGAGTAGTGAGCATAGCTTCACCAAGAGGAAGTCATGTTGACCAACTTGATTAAACTTCTACCATGAAAGGACTGGCCTGGTAGATGAGGGGAGACTAGTAGGTCTTGTCTACCTGGACTTCAGTAAAGCTTCTGACATTGTCTCCCATAAGAGCCTCCTAAAGAAGCTAAAGAAGTATGAGATGGATGAGTAGACAGTGAGGTGGATTGCAATCTGGCTGAATGGCCAGGCCCAGAGGGTGTTGATCAGTGGCATGAAGTCTAGCTGAAAGTCAGTAACTAGCGCTGTACCCCAGGGGCCAATACTGAGTCTGATCCTGTTTAACATCTTCATTAATGATTTGGATAATGGGGCACAGTGTATCCTCAGCAAGTTTGCTTATGACACAAAACTGGGAAGAGTGGCTGATATGCGAGGGGGTCATGCTGCCACCCAGAGAGGCCTGAACAGGCTGGAAAAACAGGCTGACAGGAACCTCATGAAATTTAACAAGAACTGCAAAGTCCTGCACCTGCCGAGGAACAACCCCATGCACCAATATACGCTGGGGGACACCCAGCTGGATAGCAACCTTGCAGAAAAGGACCTGGGGGTCCTGGTGGACACCAAGTTGAACATGAGCCAGTAATGTGCTCTTGCCACAAAGAAAACTGATGATATCCTGGGCTGCCTTAATCAAAGCATGGCTAGCGTGTTGAGGGAGGTGATCCTTCCCCTTTATTCAGCACTGGTGAGGCCATGCCTGGAGTACTGTGTCCAGTTCTGGGCTCCCCAGTACAAGAGAGACATGGAGGTACTGCAGAGAGTCCAGTGAAGGGCCACAGAGATGATTAAGGGACTGGAGCATCTCTCCTATGAGGAAAGGCTGAGAGAGCTGGGACTGTTCAGCCTGGAGAAGAGAAGGCTCGAGGGAGATCTTATGAATGTATATAAATACCTGAAAGGAGGGTGCAAAGAAGACAGAGCGAGGCTCTTTTCAGTGGTGCCCAGTGACAGGACAAAAGGCAATGGGTACAAACTGAAACACAGGAGGTTCCCTCTGAACATCAGGAAACACCTTTTCACTGTGAGGGTGACTGAGCACTGGCACAGGTTGCCCAGAGAGGCTGTGGAGTCTCCAAACTTGGAGATATTCCAAAGCCATTTGGATATGGTCCTGGGCAAGTGGCTCTAGGTGGCCCTGTTTGAGCAACAGGGGTGGACTAGATGACCTCCAGAGGTCCCTTCCAACCTCAAGTATTTTGTGATCCTACAAAATTCCCTGTTGATATCCTCACCAGAAAGTAAAGCATTAGAGTTGCCACTGACATCAATGAGGACTTCCAAGAAACTGCTCTAAATGCCTTGCCAAAGCTTCCTCCACTAGATTGAGAGAAATAACACATTCAATGAGTGAAATAATATTGTGAGATGCTCACCCTTAGGTAGCTCTACTGAATTTCACTAAATATAAAGTTTGGGTTTGCATCTCCAGAACAATTTCATTGGCTGAATACACTCATTCTGTCATCTAACAGGATGTGGAGATTTTTCTCCAATGTGTATTGCAAATAGAGTAGTGCTAAGCCCACTTTAATGTACTGCTAGAAAGCAGCACAAGCTTAACTTGGTTTTCAAGGGGCATTAAAAAGGTTTTTCTCTTGTTATGATCTATCAAGTTAACTCATGATTAAAGATTTTTTTCAGAATAAAATGAAAAATATTTCCAACTGTAGCTCTTTAAATAATAATTACAAAGCTTTTCTTCTAACCGGAGAGCTTACCTATTTCTTGGCCCTCAAAGAATGTAATGAAAAATACTCCTTGCCCAAAGGCAGTTGTAGACAGAAGACACTATAACACCAGAGGAGAAACAGGATGTGAACATCAAATAAAACACATCATTAACAAGCTCCATGAAATAAAATAACGTGATATTAAAAGCAAGCACAAAATAAATAGACCTTTGTTTCACGTAGGCTAATGGTCATTGTTTCCTTTTAACAATACTCCCCCACATACTGCAGTAGTATTTGCTCCACGTTAAAGAGCTCCACTAACCTACTTATTAATATTGGAAAGCATTATTTAACTTTATAACAAGTTATAGACCATCATAAATCTACCACATAATGAAAATATATAACGTATAACACTGTAAAAGCATTACAGGAATATACTTTCTGTAGTAAGAGCAGTGGTCCTACTCATTTTTGTAAGACCAGAACTCAAGAATAGACAGAGGCAGAAGGAACATGCACACTGGGTACTATATGCTGAGACAGCATTTTTGTGAAAGGAAATAACATTTGACTTCCAAGAAGCAACATAGTCATGCTGTATCACAAAAGTACAAAATGGAAAATGAGCAAGTCAATGATGTAGTATAACAAGGAAGTGTGACTGATGATCAATGGAAAAACACTGGCGAGCGCATGAAGGCTGATGGGGAGATCCAAAACATTACTAAAATTAATAAGCATTACTCAGTGATAAAGTTCTGCAGTTTGAAAGTGAGCTGAAATAGAAGTTCATTTTATCTCCTATTTTAAAATAATGCAATTAAATAAGGTTTTTGCAATATTTGACACAGAAGGAACACATCCTGCCACCTGTCTGAAGAAAGAAGTATGACATAGGCTGCTGCTTAGAAAAAAATTCAAAATTATTAGTGGTATGGATTACATTTTTGTACAGAAAAGTTCATGCTAATTCCCATCAACTGAGTCCCTGCCTTTTACATTGCTAAGGTTTCACCACCTCATTTGATGGCCTCTCCCCTCTCTTCAAAAATTGTTGCCTTTTTCACATGCTGTTGACTCTGATCTTCAGCAAATGCAGGATATCTGAAGAGTTATTTTGAAATAACTGATTTTAAAGTGTGCAAGTTTTCTGATGCATACTTTTCCCTCTCTGTGGTCCAGAGGAGGGAAAAAAAACCACAGTAGGAAAAAAAAAACCAAAATTCCACCCTGCCTATTTATGCCTGAATTCTTCAGTCTTACATCTGTGCTTACTTGTATGTAAAGAACCAATATATTTTATCTGAACGGTTAACACTGATAAAGTAACTATTTTTTTTAATAATGTATGAATTATTCCCCCAGCTTAATTTGGTATGTGAGTTATTTTGAAAGAGTGAAGCCATAATGTGTGAAATATGGTTTGCATTTTATGATAGTGATATTTGATGTCCCACTCAGGGATATAGTATGTTAAGACAGTACAAAGACATAAAACAGCCTATAGCATACATAAAACAGGAAAGGACATGGGAGAACCGATGCCAAAGAAACATATACCTCAGACTGTATAGCTAGACAAACATTAGACAAATTTCTGATCTAATCCCCAGTTGTACTCAACAGAGAATCAAACACAAGTTTTCCTCCAAACAAATAATGGCTTTCAGGAGTGGCATGTAATCAGGTGTGCTTGAAAGTACACTAACATGACAAATATTTTGAGGCCAAAGCATAAAGAGAACTCATGAGCATGAGGAATGCAACTTTCTTATATTTTTTGTAGGTTTACAAAATTTCCCTGAAAACCTATTTTTGATTCCTTTCTACATTCAAAACATTTTCTCAGTTGGATATCTATTAATGTGACTTATTTCCAGTGAAATACAAAAGCAAACAGAAACCTGAAAAAATAAGTAAATTATAGTCTAAAGTTTCAAAACTATGGAAATCCACAGCAGGGTTGGAGGAGAAAAATTAGAAAAGGAAAAGAAATATTTACCATTATAGTCTGGTTGGTGAAACTCAACTGGTTCTGCAAGACCAACAAAACTATGTAGGGTAAAAAACTGATCATATACACAAGGCTGGCACACAGAGCTGCTGTATTGGCACTGCTAAAAAATGCTCCCAAAAAATAGCTTAACATAATAACTGTAACTCCAAAATCCAGGAGAAAAAGGAAGATGAGGAAGCCATTGCTATAAGCAAAGATACCACTTGCTTTTAATATGATGGTCAGAGCACAGCTGCTTATTGTGAGCACTATGACATTCTCCAGAAACCAAGCAAAGAAATGAATGGCTGGATGTACACCCATTGTCTTCATATACTGCAAGATAACATAACAAAGAAAGTTAGGAAAGAAATTTTCTTCTCTCTTCTTCTTTTTTTTCTTTTTTTTTTTGAGCAAAACATGTTGCCACCAAGACACCACCAGCTCCCCAAAGGATGTCATCTTCCCTTTAAATTACTTGTCTTTTTTCCCACACTACCCCATCTCCTGCTCTCTCCTTGATCAAACATGGTTCTGAGCAGGGCTGCCTCTGAGCTTATCGCATACTAACACAAGGAATCCCAGTGCTCAGACACAACTCTGTTTTGCATAGGGGTTGCAGGACCAGATGTCAGATTGCTTACCACTGAAGAATTTGCCTTTTTATACTCTAAAAAGTTCTGTGGATATGTACAGCACTGTATGAACAAATGTTTTTTCCCAGCCTGTTGCGGAACTAAAAGTAACATATGCATATGTTTGTAAACCTTTATGTATTAGCATGCAAATAATAATTTAGCCAAGTATGAGGTATCACCCCTCTTTTTTAAAAAAAATGCTTTTGAAAGAAGCTAATACTACTTCTGAAGAATTTTTCATAAGATGATCAAAATTAACTTTATGAAGTTGATTTAATATTTTAAAGTTTTTAAAAAAATAAGGCTTATCTTACAACAAAAGGTTTAGAGGAATTAGATAATTTCCCAAATTTAAAAAGCTTACTCCAGCAGTATAAAGACCAGTATAATTCTTCAAAAAAAGTGTATTTATCCATACAGGAAATGTATCATAAAACTCCCTGTCCTTCCATATGCTTAGCACCTGCTAAGATTAGCTGTTGATATAAGCAAATAATTGTCTCATTTTTTCTGTGTCATCCTCCCTTGTATTTCTGATAATTACACAGTACATGGCAAATTTTTAATTTGGTTTAGGAAGTTTTGTCATTTTGGACCACATATAGCAAAACATGAAAGAGAATCCAAAACAAAAACCATTCTAATTGCAAGGACTTTTTCCAAACAACAGTTTCCAGCTTCAACTTTTATGGATCTTTTGCTTGTTGCTTTTTGTCTCAGGGACAACATTTACATACTAAGAGGACTGATGCTCAAACAACATTGTGAATCTGAGTTGGCAGCTATAACTAGAACCTACTGCCCAGAGGAAACAAGTGAAAACAAAGCCAGCTGGATTATGAGTACATAAAAGTACCTCAAAATTTAAGTTTTGTATTTCAGTACATTTTAATAAATAAATTTTATTTTCAGAGGCTAATCTGCCTCTTACCTCTTCAAGATGAATTTCTCTTTCATAAACCAGCTTGCGAACCATGCCAGCAACTGAAACCATCCATGTTAACATCATCATAAGTGGGAAAAAAAAACCTATATTGTTCAAGAATCTAGGAAAGAAAATATATGCAGAGTTGTTAGCCCCCAAAGGTAAAATATATTTTAGCAGAATGTTAATAGGTTAATACTGGGACTATTCTCAAAGTATGCTCAAAATAAGATCTGACATGAGCAATAAGACTTATTCTTGTTCTGGTTAGAATTGCTTATTTTTCATGTATCAAGCTAAATATATGTATTGGTACTATAATATTATGTTAGTATTTGTCAGCAATACAACTGATGTAATCACTCTTTAGGGCTCCATTCAAAGTCAAACAGAATTCAGATTTTTGTCTATGGCAAAGTAATATATTTGGACAGTAAGGAATAACATGAACCAGTCAACTTTTGCTCCACTTTAACAGATTTATTACCACTGACTAATTTTAAATTCTAATAGTCAGGATGTTTTGATGGTTTTACAAAGAACAATCCTATACTTTTCTTTTGCTTCATCAACTTTACACTGTATTTCAACACATACCAGGGACCAATTTACAGTTTGTCTACAGGACAACTAAGGATGGAAGGTGGGTTTCTTAGCATGATCTAAGTTAGTTGCACAATATGTTGACACAGTCTCTGTCCAGCAGACTACTCCACAGTACACCTGCAAACAGCTTGTAAGGGGTCATTTGCCAGACAGAAGTTACATAATGTGTTGTGGTGACAGCTGTTAAACAACATTTGCTATGCTGCAATATTCTGGTATTGGACATACTGGTTCAATCCTGTGCTGAGATATACATTCAACCACTACAATGACCTGGTAGCTTCCCAAGTCCTCTAGCACTAATCTAATAAGGATAACATATTGAATTAAAAAGCTGAAAGTTTACTTACAGATCACTGGTGTGACAAGGGTAAGGCATGGCTTGCACCTGAATGGCTGGCTCTGAGGTATCTGTCCCAGTCTGTGCTGAAATAATTGCCCTTTCAATCATGTCTTGAAGAGGAATAAAGATGTGGTTGTATTTAAATCCATCAGCTGGCAACTTCTGGGGATGGGATTTCCACGCTGGGTTTTTAATCAAATCCGTTCTCATGCTATAGAGAACACTGGTTCTAATTGTATATGAAATGTGTCGTGGAAGGAGATTGCTAGAATCTTGTGTCTTGTTCTTTGGTGTATTGAAGATGATACCTGACACAAGAAGAAAAGGAGCTTCATACCCAAGCTTATATGATTTATGCTATTTACACCGCTAACTCATGGCCAATTATTGTATGGTAGTAGGATACACTTACCTGTCAGGGCAGGTCTCTATAGTTTCTTGACCCCCCAACACAAGAATGGTAGGTTTCATAGAGACTTACATTTTTTACATTCATGAATATGAAATGTAAAAAATTATTCACATGATAAATGCATTTGCAACAATCATTTTTATCTGAGAAAATTCCTTCTGTGATTTGTTATTTTGAATTGCGGTTTATTCTTTTTGTCTCCAGATTTAACCCTTTTTTGGGGACTGATCTCAATTCCACGGTGAAAGCAGTAGCCATGAAATTTGTCCATCAAAGGATAACAACCCCTGGAAGTGTGGGACAAAGTAAGCAGTGCTAAGCCACTAAAAATTACTCTGATCCTTAATTTCTGAGTCAATTACAAAACTTCTGTTTTAGCACAGCAGAATTTGCATATTTATTTTCTCTAGCGCTGTATAAAAAAAAAAAAATACCAAACAGATGAAAGCTTAATCTGTAGCTGGAAAGGTGAAGTCAAATGCAGCAAATTGGTTGTATTTTCTTTCTGGATGATCCAGACTTTTTAGGACTTCTTGGTGAATGTGAAATGTTGACCTTTTTTCCTTAGGAAAGGGGAGAGATGTCTTACCTGCCACCTGGCTCTCTGAAAGATAATATGATATAGAATACTTTGCTGTAAAGCTTATTTTTTCAACTGGCCAATCTCATTTTCCCATTTATGCAAACGTTTAATTTCCTAAGACATTTCATGAAGCTATGAAGGCTTTGAAGGCTATGAAGGCTTTGAAGACTACAAAGAAAGCAAGGAAAATTCCACTTTAATTTCATATCTTACTATGGAAAGGAATGTATGCCTATATCTGAGCATGTAATATTGACATGTTGGACACATTAGGTCCCTTAAAATGCCATCTTCCCTCTTTAAGCATGTGAAGAGATTATAAGGCCACAGTACTGAAAAAACTCCCAATAAATGCTTTGGCTTATGTTAGCTTATGACTCTTCCTTATGTAAGTGGAAGCAAAATGGATCTAAAACTTGACAATTCAATTTTCTGGGGGCCAAGATCTATCTCTCTGTTTCTTCCCTTGAAGGAGCAAACAATTTCACTCCCTACGAAATACTCCTGAGAAATTTTCCTTTTCTCATGGTATGTATGGCCTGTTGGTTTTATATTGATGGAGGGTGGTCATTTCCACATTCTGCAAATGGGGGTACTGTGCGGGTTACAGAACAAACATAGGATTCCAGACTGAGTAGTTTCATTCTCTAGACCTGCTTTGACATGTCTTCTGTTGTGGACTTAATAGGAGTCCAGAGAGACAATAAAAAACAAAACAACAGGGGAAAAAATTGTGGCACACTTTATATAGACTTAAATAGGGCTCTCTTTTGGAAAGGCTAAATGCAACTTAAAGCATTTTATGCGAGAAGAAAAAGTGTATGTAATAAGAAAAACATTCTTGTCTTTTAAACTCTTTTGTACAATTTATTGATTCTCAGCAATAAGGATATAATGCAGGAAAAGGATAGAGAGTGTAATCCCAGGGAAGAAAAGATATATCTGTTTTGCTTAAAAATTTATTTACTCTGAATAAACAAGTTAATTTCTCTGAGGTGCTGGTTTAAGAATAAAACTTACCAAAAAAACCCTTTCTTTCCTCCTTTTTGCAAAGCCAAGAATATAAAAATTAAAATTTGAAAGGATGTAAACTAGATGATCTTGTCATAATAAGTAGTCAAGTTTCCTCAGTACTATATATTTTTCAGCTCTTTTTATTCTACTTTAAACATTTATGACTATTCTTTTCAATATTTTGTTAGAAATAGCAGGCTCCAAGGATTCATTTGGCAGTTCCACAATTAAAACAACAATATAATTAGTCTTTACAGCATATATTGCAGCATTCAAATGTTGGGGAATACCTCACGTAAATGTGCTTTATTTTGCCTGTATTATATGTGTTTTAATACATACTTTGAAACTGTGTAAGCTTGACCTACCTTATCAACAAACACAGACAACAACTACAAAGTCTGATGTTTTCTATCAATATACATTTTAAATAAGGTACTTACTAGCCAAAAAATTCTTTTGCTGCATGAGTTCATGAGCCTTCTCCTCCAATTTCTCAACAGAGTCAAAAGGCTGGAAACGGTCCAGTAACACACAGGAAGAGATATTTACTACAAGCTGTGACAACAGGTCAATCTGTTTACTTGCTGAGCTGTTAAGCATCTTGTTCATCATAGTTTCTAAGATGAGGAAACAAATTGGACTTCCTTAGTTTAATGAACAGAACAGAGAGGTACGTTCTCACTTGCACATCCTATAAAAGTAAATAGCCTTTGTATTTAAAAAAAGGAAGAAGTTTTAAAAACATAGGAATTTTAGTGTGAACTTGTGGAACTGTAGTTCATGTTTCAGTGGCTTTTACAAGTCCTTAACTATGTTTTCCTTCAATTTCAGAGCAACAAATATGTAACAAATTCTAGCAAAGTTCTAGAAAGAGACCATGTCCTTGAAGCTGTAGGACTTTTAACATTTCCTTATCTTTCCATAACTACTACCACAAATACAAGCGAGTTACTGTACTTCGAACATCACAACAGAGATTCATCCCTTTCATCTAGTAATGTATTGGCCAGTTCTTCTCTCCTTGACACTGCAAATATTTCAAACACCTTGTTATATACGGCATAAGCATTTTGACTCAAGCCCTACATTTAAAAAGCATCTGAAAAAAGCCTACAACCCCTTCATTTTGACTTTGATCTTATCTATGAATCCAGGATTAATGTATACCTCAACCAAAGCCTGGTTTCTGAAAGCACTGAACCTTTGGAGGAATTCAGATCTTCATCCATTGGTAGAGAATGTAGAGATAGTGCTATATCCTTATGTTTGAGAGAATAACCAGAAGGATAGCATGATCTAGAAACAATCTTAACTCATCTGGATTTAATGGAAACATCTGAATTTGTCAGGTAATAAACAATGTTATAAAACATCCAACACAAGTTTCCATCTTAAATTTTTCAAGACTCACTTGAAGATATAGGCTTTAAAAAGGATAGGTAATGACCTCATTTGATAACAGTGGTGACAGACAAACCCTGGATCATAGATGTCATTCAGCATCAGCACAGGAAATATTACAATAGGAAGGCAGATAAGTGGAAAAACGTATGGAGTAGTCTGGAGAAGAGACATGATTACCAGTGAGAAAGGATAAAGCTCACAAAGAGAAAAAGTAGAGGAACTGACAGTCTAGAACTCAGAAGACAGGCAAGCAATGACAGGGTGAATTCATGGGTTGAGAGAAAACAGCGTCAAATATAGATATTATATGTCTTATTTACTGCTATCCTTGAGGAGGACAACAAAGGAAATACCCATGCAGCTACTTGTTTTGTGGCATTAGAGAGAACAGAATATTCCTAACATAAAGCCCAAGTAGTAGGGTTAAGTTTTCATATATATTTTTATATATATATGTGTGTGTGTGTGTGTAATTATATATAGCCATATATATATATATATACACAAAAAAAAAATCACTACAGATCTCTTCACCAGCTGATCTTTGAAAGACCTCAATTTGAAATCAATAATTAACTAAAAAAACTTCCCTCTTATGAATGAAACTATTGAATATTTTAGCATAAGAAATACCAACTAGCTTGCTGCTTGCTTAGAGTACGGCATACTTAAATGTTTCTGAAGCAAAATATTGTCTTTCACAATGTGCATGAAGTTCTGTACTCTAACGTAGAAATGACACATATATATGAACAGATACAATCCACAGGAAAGTTTTAGAATTAAGATCTATAGAATTGCCTATCTTGTATTTTTCCCATTTATAAGTGTAGCAATTATGAATAAAAAACTCGGCAAATCTGTTTTCACTATTATCTTCATACTTTGTTACATACCAACTCAGCCCTCATCTTCCACTTAGCTTGTTTAACCTATCATTAAGTAACTGGGAGGAAATATAACTGGTTTATGTAAATCTACTAGGTAGAAGTGCTATTTAAGTAAAAGGTTGCAGGAAGAATAAATTGGAATAAATCAGCAATGAATGCATCTAGGTCAGAAATTAGGAGAAAGTTTCTAGTTATCAAGTGATTTTGGTGGTGGCACAGTTTTCAGTGACGATGTTAGAGCTATTTGTTTCCAGCTTTCTATATGTGCATTAAACTATTTCATTACAATGAGGGCAGTAGAGGGGTAGCATGGAGGAAAGCCACCTGGTTTGTTTTTACTCTGGCTGTTACATCTCAGGTCACATGTAGCCCTCCATAAGGGAGATTCCTTGGTAGTGAAAAAACACTTCACATCTGGGAGAAATCACAGAAGAAGGACGAGAGAGACTCAGAAAGCAAGAATCTAAAAGAAGAGCCTGCAGGACAACTGCTTCCCAGTGCCTCCTGAGAGGTTTGTAAGGACTGTGCCCAGCAAGGAGCTCACAAGCTCTAGCAGGACAGGGTTTATATAAAATAGGCTACACCCAGGAAATTACTGCAAATTGCTGGGTTGGAAAGCAAGCATAGAGGAATACAGTTGCCTTGTGAACACAAAGCTAGTTTAGAAAGTAAAGAAGGGTTTAAAAAGAAAACCACAAACTTCTCTGTCCTCAGTTAAATATTTACTTTGTTCCACATGAGTAAAACTGACACAGTAACCCTGTAAAACAGTTTTAGAAATTGGTAACTTTGCAAGGTCTTATAGCATGATAATTTTATAGAGAGGTTGGAAGAGATCTACATCAATCTACTCGGTGCCCACGACACTTTCCAGCAGAAGTAACAGGAGGAACAACATGTCACTAAGACTGTTAACCATTTTTATAGCATCATAGAGAAGGAAAAAAGATGCAAACACAAGCACCTTAGATTTGAGCATAATAAGAAGTCAGCTTAATGCAAGTGTAGATGTAATAAACCAAGGGAATATTTTCTTTAGTTAGAAGACAATACATAATCCCACAGATTAGGTGATTTCAGAAAACTTGAGCTTTGGATGGAAATAAACAGATTGTGAGTGGTAAAACCAATAACATATATGGATACATTTAAGACTTTAATTGGATCCAAGCAAGATAATTACAGGACTAAAAATCTGGTGCAATATAAAAGTAATGAAATTTAAAAAAACCCTATAAGAACAGAGGCTTACAGTAAGACCTGCACATGATTATAGACTAATGAACAAAAAAGCATGTACAAAACCAACATAAAAATAAGAGGGCATAGTCATTTTTCAAAAAGCAAAATGACAAAGCGAATCTGTAAAAAGAATTGTAATCAAAGTGTAAATGCAGAAGAGCGCTCTGGCATTTTGGACAGATCAGCTTCACAAAGGCATAAATGCTGTTTTGATCTATAGCCCATATTGATTTTCACTTTTTATATGATGTTAATTTTATCGACTGTATTCCATTAAAATAAAGAAATTCTAGTTTCATAAGCCATTCTACTTAAATGATTTCATGTATTCACCATCCAAGACTATTAAACATTTATTACGTGTTGTCAGATGTCCTTAGCTCTGTTAAAAAGCTAAAACTTGCGAAACACATGCACAGATTTCTGTGATGATGTCTGCAACAGTGAAGATGGACCTGATAACTCCAGAGATCTTGATATCTACTTAATGAAATATTGTTTGCCCATAACCTATCATGTAGTTGCCAGTGTTAGATCCAAACAAACAAAATCTGTCTATTACTCAACCAATATATTGAGACAGCTATGTTTCCAGCAGGCCTTGCGGGTTAAGAGACTTGCTCTTTCCTCCCTCCTATCTTTCCAATTGAGTGATTCTGTGGGGTTTTTTTTAGTTGTATTGTGATCCAGCTTCACCACGAGGGGTGAGCTGTGCCTGACCCAGACTAGGCAACAGTTCAGTGGTTAAGAAAATCTTCCTGAGAGATAGTGGATTCAAGTTTGAATCCCCTGCCTAAGAAGATACTGAGCCCATATTCTTACTTTCTGGATTGAATTCTGGACACCATTTTTCTTAGTGAAAGTGTGCGCAGCTAGTCCCAGCCTTCAAATACAACCTTCAAATCAAGGCCAGTTTTAATTAAATCTCACATCCTGTGTGCAAAAGAAAAGCCAAGAATTTCAGCTCACACCAACCATGACAGCACCAGCTCAGGGCAGTAGTACAATTTAAGACTGAGAACACACTTTATCATTGTCCTGGTTTCGGCAGGGATAGAGTTAATTTCCTTCCTAGTAGCTGGTACAGTGTTTTGGATTTAGGATGAGAACAAAGTTGGTAACACACCGATGTTTTAGTTGTTGCTAGGTAATGCTTACACTAGCCAAGGACTTCTCAGCTTCCCATGCTCTACCGACTGAGAAGGCTGGAGGTGCACAAGAAGCTGGGAGGGGGCACAGCCAAACTGGCCAAAGGGACATGCCATACCATGTGACGTCAT